GGGGGGGGGGGGGCAGGCACCATTGCGTCTTGGGACCCCCTAATGTAAGTGTCCTGCGAGTTAAATTTTAATTATTTTTTCTGCTTATTTTACGAAACAACGTAAGTAAAACTACAAACAGGCTCTCTTCTGCATTGCCGACGAGTTGCGGTTGGTGTGGTGATGCGAGGGGTTGTTGCCCTTTGTCTGCTGCCCCTGGGTAACTCGCTAGGTTAAGCTCACTAAATAATTAGGTTAAGTCGTTAGGGCGGGGGAAAAACACCCTACGTTTTCTTTTCCAACTTCTTACTGCCACCATAAGCACAGTTATACTCACAGCTTTTGTTGATGTGGTGTTGTTTAGTGTCTTAATGATTTTAAATCTTCTGTTGTTTGTTTTCTTGTACTGGAAGGTACTAGCAGAGGAGGAGGAGGAGGCAGCAGCGGTGGCGCATGGGGTTCCTCTAACCAGAGATACACTAATGTTATCCAGCCATCTACCTTTAAGTCTAATACATGGGGTGGCAGCAGAGATCATGGAAGAGGACTTTTCGGCTCCTCTGATTTTGGATCATCAGGCGGCAGCAGCAGAAGTGCAGACTTTTCGCAGAACAGATTCTCTGCGCTATTGAACAGTCAAAATGTTGCTGATGGCTATAAAGATGAAGAGGAGAGGCTTCTGTAAGTTATAGTCCTGTCTCACTAAAAGCATTTAGAATGAGCAGTTTAAAAGCTCACTGCCTTACTAGAGAAAATGCAGAGGACACGATCATGAGGAGGAAGCTGGGACTTCATTTGGTTCTCTTGAGTTACGCTGGGATGGGAAGAAAGCAATCCTTGTTTTGAACCTGGGTTGGGCAGCTAGACAACTGTAATGTTAGTAAGACGGTGTGGTATTTAAGTTGCGGACAGGAGGATAAGGAAGGAAAGAAAGATTTCAGTACTTGAAAATAAGGGGTCAGAGCCCCTTGGACAGCATTTCAACCATTTAAAAAACTCTTTCAGAAGATGGACTGTTTGACTTAGTTTTCCTGACACTTAAGATAACCAATTGTTCTGCCAGCAGCAAAACTATTGAAACCTGGTTTCACGTGTGTGCAAATTGGAGTCAGTTCAGAGCAACCAGCAGGTTCAAGGTGACTACAGGGCAGGTGATGAAAAGCAACAGGCAGCGTGATTTCCTGAAGAATAAAGGATTTGGAACCACTTTCCTTTTTTTTCTTTTTAAGATTATATTAAGAAAATGCTTAACAGACTATTTATTCAGCTTCTCAAACACGAATGTATATTGTGTAACAAATACCTGAAATACTTAAAATCTTTGTTTGCTTGTTACTATGTAGTGATTTGCTTGTCCACTTTAGTTTTTACCCTTTCACTGTTTGTTTACATTTGGATTTACCTTTGTTGGTGTAGCTTCTATTTCTCTGCTTTTGCCATGTCTGGATTATTATGTTTTTGATTCTTTTCCAAATAACTGATATTGAATGCTTCTCTCTTCTTTTTTTTTTTTTTTTTCCCCCCCTGAATTTTGCTATTTAATACTGTGCATGTTATATTATAAAATTGTCTCAAGAAGGTTTTAAATTGTGTTGTGATCTACAGATTCAGGGAAAATCCTGTGACAGTATATGCCATACAAGGATTAAAAAATACTTTGTGTGGTTTGGGATTATTTTATTATTTTTTTTAGATCTGGTTTGATTTACTTGCAGTTAGAAGATAAAGTAAAATGCTTTGAAGGGACATTTATGTATCTTGTTAAATAAGTGCATTTTTTCCACAGAGAAGGGAGTACTATTCTTGTTCACTCTGACTAGTGTCATACTTCGTTAATTTTTGTGGTAGCAGGAAATTGAATCTGATTTTGGATTCAAACTAGGCAATTGCTTGTAGTGGTCTTGTTTTGACCATATAATTTCACCTTCACTTGTGGTTTTGTTTTGTTTTCTAGCGAATGTATAGTGAAAGACATGGAAATTTGGGAATCTTCAGGACAATGGATATTTTCGTCTTATTCACCAATGAAAGAAAAGTCGAACGTCTCAGGTAGGTGATGTTTTTAGTGTTGCTGTGTATTGCTGCTGTTTAGGATGTTTCTTACACTTGTCCACACTGTTGTACCTCTGGAACCATTTGCAAGGTGATGATTTGCCTTGTGATGCAACAGAAAGGAATACTGGATTACGGCAAATTTATTTGGAACATTTGTGTCTTTGAAGTTCTGTAATGAATCCTTTTTGTTTCTCCAACTGTAACTGACTTACAGATCATGTACAAAGGCCCATTTCTTCATAACTAAAGAGGGCAATTGAAGTATTAATAT